TTAAAGGCTCTACCTTCTTCAATTTGTTTATCATGCCTCTCCTTGTCTCTTACATTCTCCCAACCAAGAATAAGATGATGATCAAGTTCTTCCCATAGTCCTTCTAGGGTTGCAAAATAAGTTGCAACTGTCATATCTCCTTGTCTCAATGCAGCAATGTCTTGGTTTAGCCTATAGATTCTTGCATTGTTCTTTCTCTGCCCATAAGTTTTAGACACTTTCTCCCAAATCTTCGCAGTAGTGGGAAAGTGTTGAACAGTCCTGGCCACTCTTGGAGTCATCGAAGCAAGTAACCAAGACATAACAGTAGCATTCTCCCTACGCCATATTGCGTACTCCACACTACCCACTTCAAGTTCCTGCTTTTGTCCATCTAAATAACCCGTAAGTTCCCGGGAAGTAATGAAGAGCATGGCTGAAACAGACCATTCTCTGAAGTTATATTCATCCAACAACACACTGGTGATCTGCAAGCTGTGCAAATTTGGGTTTTCCATATTAGAAGACCTCCCACCAGTTCTATTATCCCTAGAAGACACTTCTCCTGATATTGAAGACATCTCCTTCCTCTTACAGTGATCACAATTGAAAACTCAGAACAAAGAACACGATTTCAGACTTACTGAAGTTGTTACTAGTCTGAGAACCCCTCGTAACAGGTCTGAAACCAAGAACAATCCACCCCTGTACTGTGCTGAACACTTCTGGACTAGGCTTTGACTTCTGCTGTCGTAGACTATGACCACCCTTACAATCTGTACTAGGACTGTCTAACTCAGTCCTTCCACCTAGATCTGTTCCACACAGATCTCTCTTAGCAGCCGAATGGCTACTACCTGCTGCAGGGTTTCTAGTAGGGCATCAGCTTCTGGAACAAACTCCCCTTGGGCCCTACAACCAAGGGAAACCCTAGATACAGACCTTGTTGTGATCTACGGTCAGCCCTACGGTTTCTTCACAGTGGCCGAGATAGGAGAGAGAGAAAAAAAGAAGGAATAGAGAAGTGGAGAAAAGAGGCGGCTGTAACCAGTCAAACCGATTAGTGCTCTGATACCATGTTTGCTGGAAAACAGCAGCTGAATAAGAAGAAGAAGAAGAAGAAGAAAAAAAAAAGAAAGAGATTTGAGAATGGCGGCATACTCACTTCAGCCGGCCCTATAATCTTATATAGATATTTACAAAGTAATGTTACAAGAATGGACTAGAATGCCCCTGATTAGTGATGGGACACCTAGACATAAAAAAAGAATAAAACAAGTTTAGGCCCAATAACTAAGAACTTAAAACATAAATAAGACTAACATAAACACTAAACCAACAACACCTATGAGGGGATAAACAAGTCTTGGGTCTCTTTCTTTGAAGCAGATCATAAGTATTGATTCTTTCCAAGAAGGTTTCCCAACAAAAACTCCCAACCCTAGTAGGAATTGGCTTACACCAAATCTCTTTAACAGGAAAGGATAAACCTACAATGTTGGTTGGCTGAGTTAAGACTTTAAAGGAGGCACAAGAGAAATAGCCCAAGGGGGTGGGGGTCCAAATTCTGGTGTCTTCCTTTGTGGAGTCCAAGAAAACATTTTCAAGAATAACTAGGAGAGACAAGGTGTTGTTCAGATCTATATCTCTAACAGCCCTTCTCAAACCCAAATTCCAACCAAACCAGCGTTTGAAGATGAAGGGACAAACAATAAAGGAAGAAATGGGCTCATTTTTCAAGTCAGAAAAAGCATACAGGGATGGAAACTGATCCTCCAAAAGAGAATTCCCCACCCAAGTTTGTTCCCAAAATTTTATGAGGTTGCCTGAGTTTAAATCATACCTGATTAGAGGGGAGAAAACTGGTAACAAGTCATGGATTGCTTTCCAAAGTGAGGCACATTTAGTCCTTGCCAAAATTCCAGGATCCCATCCGTTGTCGTCCAGCCCATGAATGCTAGCTACTATTCTAGCCCACAACTTCTCCTTCTCAAAAGGGAACCTCCATAACCATTTCCCCAATAAAGCCACATTCCTCTTTCTAATGTACCAGAGCCCCAACCCTCCCGACTTCTTATTCCTATTCACCATCTCCCACCCCACCCTATGGTCCATCTTCTCCTCACCTGGCTCCCACAGTAAGTCTCTCATCAACTTTTCCAATCCATTAAACACCCCTACTGGAATCTTGAACACTGACAAGAAGTAGATAGGTAAATTGGCTAAGGTAGCCCTAATTAGTGTTATCCTCCCACCAAGAGAATGATAATGGTAAGTCTCTTCTCAAATCTTTCCACCACCAGATTCCAAAAACTTCCTTTCTCGGGATTGCCTCCCAGGGGTAGACCTAGATAATTCAAGGGCCAACTTGAAGCTGCACATCCCAATACATAAGAGGAGTTATTAGAAACTTTCAAGGAGTAATAATGGCTCTGTTCTTAGGGACAATAGGCTTTGGAGATTCAGTTCAGGCTGAAATTATGGCTCTTCTGCATGGCTTGAAACTAGAATCGCAACTAGGAGTTAGAGAATTGGAAGTTGAAGGAAATTCACTCTTGGTGATTATTGAGGGAGACTCAAAACCGGTAATAGATTGGTTGCAAAAAGAGGAAAGCAGAATGTGGAGTTACCTAAATGAGAAGAGAATTTTCAAATGGTGGACCCGAGACATGACAGTGAGGTTTCAATGGGTAAAGAAGTGTGCTAATTCGTTTGTAGATGCACTAGCCAAACAAAGGGTTGGAAGAATTCAATTGTTCTAGGCTTACATGTAATTTTTATTTTTTAATCTTGGGGGAGTTAAGAGAGTTTATCTCCCCTGCCTTGTACCTATCCTTTTCTCATTAATGAATTGATTCTGTTACTGATAAAAAAAAATCACTCTTGGCGATTTCTTGGGCAAAGAAAATCCAGACCCTGGAAGTGCATATTTGCTTTCAGGGAGATTGATTGTCTTGCAAGAAAGGTTAATGCAAATTTTGGTTGGGTAAGAAGGACAGCAAACGGATTGGCAGAAGCTTTAGCAAAACAGGGGGCGGATGGACCAACCTTATTTTGGGCAAAGCTGTAATTGTTGCAGTGAAAAAGAAACCAGGTGAACTATGTACTTGAAAGTTCTTGATTCCTTTGTAAAGTGGACAGCTCAATAGATAAAACACTTGTAATCTTATTTCAGATTAATAAACGAAATTTATTTGCTGATCAAAAAAACAGCAGCAAGTGTATGAACAAACCTCTTTTGGAATCTCATAGAGCGTCTATCTCCTTCATGTCTGTCTGAGTCATGCGACAGATCTTCTTTCAAGACTTCATATGTCGTTAAGACAATGTCAGCATTGATGAATTCACTTAAATCCATTATAGACATAGTTGAAGGGGAAGCATTCCTTACACCTTCGTAAACACAAGTTTTGAGAGAACCTGGGTTTGTATGACTTCACAAAGAAAAAATAGGTTCATAGAATAAACATGTCAACTCCATTTGCTAAATGTGATGTATCAACAGTAAAACAACACCAGATAAATTTAACAATATAACCAATCACCCAAAAAAAAAGTATATTTCAGACTGTCTTTTTAATCAGAAGTTAGATTGTCTTTATTTCAATAATGGCAATGATGTACAAGCAATAATCTACATAAAATACAAAGAGAAGGAACATGGACGGAATTTTAATTATCACATAACATGTCCCAAAGATACTATAGTTATAATTTCATTACATATCCATGGGTACCAACATGAAATATTACTAGAATTAACATATTCCCAAGTTGCAAGTAGTAAGAACAAGAAATATTACTAGAAGGGCCAGGGTAGACCAAAAAGGACATGGTTCAAACTTCAAAGTAGTAAGGAGCGATTTAAACGCTCATAATTTAACAACAGATATGGAATTGAACAAAACAGAATGACAAAATAAAATTCATGTAACCACCCCATATAGTTGGGATAAGATGATGACAACATATTTCCGTATGTAGAGTACAAGAGATGGTATGTAACATAAGTTGGCAACAATGTTATAGATGTGTGGACTGTGGAGTAGTAGACTAGTAGTAGTATTGCCCGCCTAATGGACATGATTACCGCTTTGAGCCAACTTAAAATTTTTTTGTAAATATTAAGTTAAATCTTAATTTTTGTGTAACATATTATTTGGTTGGTCTACTAGAATAATTTGCACTTTCTATGAGTTTGAATTTTGCTTGAATTCACTCTATCATGTAGTTTTTTGGCTGTTAAAATTTACAGGACAACAGTAGGATTTTGAGGATGGTCCTCTATTCCTTTGGCAATTCTGTGGTCTGTGTGGACTGAAAGGAACAGTAGGATTTTTAATCACAAAGCCTCCTCTGAAGCTGAGGTCATCAACATGGCTATAGAGTTTGTTAGAAGTTGGTTGTCTATACATACAGGTTTTAAAGAAGATACATGTGATTGTACTTTTTTGAGGATGGCCTTTTTTTGAGGTCCTTCTGGTTCGTTTTTGTACAGCTTCTCATTGTACAAAGGACCTTTTGATTAATACAATTATACTTTACCTTTTCTCAAAAAAAAATTACAGGACAACATCATATTGTATTATTTTGTCTATTAACCTTAACTTTTTAAGTGGGTTAGCTGACTCCCTTGCTAAACAAGGTACTACAAGACAGCAACTATATAGGGCTTCATTGTAAAACTACCCTTGGTTATTTTGGGGATGACATTCTGGTCATCAAGTTGTACCATTCACATATACAATTAATTTAATAAAATTACTTTATTGCTGATAAAAAAAAGGTTAACTTTGTTTCTTTTATCACTTCATAAAATATCATTCCATATTTCACAATATTTTCACCATGTCTATAATTTTTACAATAATTTTTTATCAGCAAACAGAATTTTATTAATTATGTAATTTAAATGAGTACAATAGGTTGGGAAGATTCAACCAACCCAAAATACAAAATGGATTACACGTTTGCCCAAAACACTTGCTTCCCATTAACCCCTTGTTTTTCTAGAGAATCTGCTATCCCATTTGCAGTTCTTCTGTTGGGTAGCTGCCCAACTCAGATCCTCTTCGAGGGAGGATAACCTCCAGAATAGGGGAAAGTGAGAATGAAGAGAGGAAAGAGATCAAATCTTTTTTATTATCCCCTTATTGTAAGTACAACTCTGTATTTATATTCAATCTTGCCTTCAATGTAACTGATTTACAACAGAATTATAACAACTTGCCAACTTGTTTGATTTAGTAAACTCCAACTTGATTCAGTTAACTCCAGTTGTCTTTGCACTAGATTCCTTATGCTGAGGTGGCCTTAACTGATTTATAACAGATTAAAACAACATGCCAACTTGTTTGATTTAGTTAACTCCAAGTTGATTCAGTTAACTCCAGCTGTCTTTGCACTGGCTGCCTTATGCTGAGGTGGCCTTCTTCTCCTTCTAAAATATACTTGTAGTTCCTGCCCCCTTGTGCCTCTAACATCCCCCCCTCCTCAAGCTAGCACTCGTCCTCAAGGCCAAGGTGTGGAAAGTTGTTGGAATGTTAACTTTATTTACTATGTTTATATTCTACTGAGCTAGGGTCCGTTTGGACAAATTAAAGCAGTTTTTTCTTTTGTTTTTTATGCTGTAACTTAAGTAGGGGCATTAGGGTCCTTTCCCTTCTAATTATGGTCACCCTATAAATATTAATATAAGCTGGCGCCGCCAACACTATAGCGGCACTGTAGCAGACTCCAAATCTCTCTCTTCTCTCTTCTCTCCTCTCTTCTCTCTTCTCTCCTCTCTTCCTCTTCTCTTCTCCTACCTCTCTTCTCTGTTCGGCTGTTAATATGGTATCAGAGCGGTTCTGCTAGGCCTGTGAGCAGATCGAACAAGCTTCAACCTGCTGCCTTCTTCAACTGAGATCAAAAAAGTGCAGACCTACAACTGGTACAGATTTTTTTTTGTGTTTTTTTCCTTTTCCTTGGTCGTGTACCAAGAAGAAGACTCCAGACTGCTGAATGTTTTCTGAGAAGCTGTGAGGTTCGGACCTCTTTTTTTTTATGGATCGTGTGATCCCATGTCTGAGAATTCAGATCTGTAGGTCGTGGATGACCAGATCTTTTAACCCTTGTGGTGTAACCATACTGGTTTATGACCCCTCCTAGCAGTCGATGTGTTTGGGGTGTTTGGAAGTTGGTGGTGTGTGACTACTAGGTCAGATCAGCTCTGAATCACCCTAAAATCTTGCCTTTTTTGGACAATCTAGGCTGGTTTGTGGTCAGATTGTGTCCAGATTGCAGTGTGTGCATGTGGGCTTCATCCTTGGTGTTTCTAGGACTGTTTGTTTGGTGATAGGAGGGATCATAAGGTGTGTGTAAGGTCTGAAAGGTGTTTGAATCATGTCCTCTGAGAATTCTGCAACTTCAGGAATTTCAGGAGGTCAAAATGGAATGAGTGGGGG